TTACCCCTATTGATATTACCCTTAATGGTTTTGAAGAAGAAGCTACTATTTCTATCCCCCTGACTAAGCCACTAGACACGAGATTTCTGGAGAGCCAAACTCTCTTCAACAGCCAGGAGGTCAACATGCTGCTTGAAGATAGTGCGCTCAATTTTCTGCAACTCACAATTACTCGGATCCTTATCCAGCTTACATTGAGCAGAGAAGAGCTTACACTTAGAGGTTTGCACTCTAGTAGTTATGTCACTAAAGTCTTTCTTGTTCAGAGCCTTAAGTTCAGGCTTCAAATATCTCAATTTTTGGCACAATACATAGGAACACCATGAATATACTGATTCCAAACTCTAGAAACCACAGAATTAAAGTCCTTATGGTCGGCCTAAAAGTCAAAATATTTAAAAGGTTTCTTAAAAGAAGATTTCTTGTCAGAAACATTAACCACAGCAGGAGAGTGGTCAGATATGCCAGAGGGTAAAAAGGTGGCAAAAGAGGCAGGAAAGGTATCCAGCCAAGCCTCATTAACCAGCACTCTATCAATTTTGGTTGCGATGTAATCCCCACTAGTTCTCTTATTGGCCCAGGTAAATTGGCAACCCCCGTAAGAGAGATCAACCAACTCAGATTTCAGAATGTATGAATTAAACTCCTCTTTGACCCTAGACCAACTAACAGAGCCCCCAGATTTCTCATATGGGTATCTTATAGCATTGAAGTCCCCCAGAAACATGATAGGAGTTTTGGACTGCAAATGGGAAGTCGTAGCCATAAACTCAAAAAACTCTTTTCGAATGTCAGGTTTATTATTAGCATAAAACGATGAATTTGAATTCCCTTTAATTTTCTTCCTATTTCTCTTTCTTTTCTTTTAACTTTCTCGTCTAGCTCTCAAGATGATAGTTTTTTTTTTTTTGGGTAAGTAAGTCATAAAATAAAGACAATGAAATATACAAGTTTACAAGGGGCATACCCCAGGTACGCCCAACAACAAATAAATAAAAGATGATATAACCAACATAAACTCCTAAAGTACCCCTTAAGATAGGGGAGAAACACAAGAACAACAGAAAAAACAAAATAACCCAACTTTGCCCATATATCCTTTTGTCTCCAAGTAACCCCTACCATCAGAGATAATAGATGGAAACTTGGGGTGGATATATGGGCAAAGGTACAAACAAACACCACAAAGCTATTTCAACAAACAAACAAACAAACACACAAAGCTGCAACCCGCAAGCCCGGTCCAAAAGGATAGCCACCCCCACAAGCCGCCAATCTCTACCGAAGATGAGCACATGGAGTCCGGTAAGCCTTCCACTCCTCACAGCCGTGACATCCTAGCCACTTAACCAAAGCCATGACAGAGGAAAAAATCTATCCCACGACACATCCCGACAGAGTCACATGAAGCTAGCACAAGTAGTAACCATAATCAACGGTCTTAGGAGTTGTAGCGAAAAAACAATAGCCCCATAGCAACAGCCCAATACATAGTCAAAAATCGCATAAGATCAAACATCACATCCCCCAGTCCCTTCCTTGGTAGATCACAAGCCTCAAACCCCACGGAAGTGTGCCCTTCACTCCATGTCAGGCGTAGCTATACAATCAATTAGAATGGGTCACATGAAGACAAGAAGCAACCATAAACTGGTAGCTATCCTCCCGCTCATCTCCCAGTCTCTAACTCAGCAAGTCATCGAAACCACGATTCCCCATAGCAGTGACCCCTCAATCACTCTTGGCGGAGATGGCTCAAAACTCACCTCGTATCGAGTCACATAAGGATCACACGATCAATCAAAATGAAAAAATCAACTACGAATAGTCCGCTGTAATGTGGCTAAACAGGAATAAATGATCACATCAAAAAACCCACTTAATCAAAACCAATACTGCATAGCCCAATCTGCTGAGATAAAATGGGCCACTAATGAAACACACAAAAGAGTGAGTCCAAGAATAAGCCCAATATCTTCACCAATAAACCAACCCACGGATAGTCCACACTGACAAATAAAAATTGTACCGTGGGCCCAAAGAAGTCCCCACGTGGGCCACAAAAGGAAATTGAGCCCACACGTGGTCAACAAAACCCTTAATCAAAATGCCAGGCTGATAGAAGAACGGCAATATCAAACACGTGGGCCACTGTAAATTCATTATAGATTTACAATATAAATTGAACCCACACATGGCCCCCCAATGACGTCTCCAAGTCCCAAACTGGCAGGGACAGCACACATCAACCAATATATATATATATATATAAAGCTGATATAGATTTACCTTCCCAACACACATCATGTCCGGCCTACAAACCGTGGGCTAGGAACCCACGTGCCAAGCAACGACGTTGTAGACACAGGTTGATACTAATCCCACACGCTAGCTACTACTCAATCCCACACGCTATAGCCGAGTGTGCACCCACGCTCCTCTCAAATCCTGGACAAAGTGACATGGCTGACCGGCGCTAGAACAGCCACCACCTGCCACAAGGACGCCTAACAAGGTCACCAAAAAACCATCCGCTTGGCGAGTCATAGCAACGACGATGGCGCACCCAAAACCGGAGCACCGACCAACCAAATTTCCAATGGACGGCGAGACCCAAACTCACACCAGCCCTTAGCTCATAACTGTAGCTTTGCCGGCGTAATTCCACCGTCCAGAAATAACACCAGCAGATGAAGACACTCCATAAACAAGATAAAACAACGGACCAACAGCCCAGGTTACACACTATATACAACATTCTTCTCACTCTAGTTTAACAAGAAGAAGAGCCCAAACAGAGACCACTCCTTTGCTGGATTGAGAACCAAACAAAATGCGAACTCATCGGAGTAACACCCATGCAACTTCACATCTGAACGTAAGCCGGCGACGACCACGACACCGGCACTGTGAAACCAGAAAACCACGCCGGAGAAACAGAGTTCCTTGACCGCAAGCCATACTTTGCTTGAACAATAGAACCACTCCATCAACGGAGTAAACAGCCCACCGGCGAAGCTATATGGAAACTAGCCACCATAGTTACAGTCAGTTAACCACTAGGCACCACCAAACCAGACCAACCCACTGAGCCGGACTAGTAAAAGTGTTGACTTCTCCAAACTCTCTTCACCCTAGCTGGCTGCAACCCAGCAAAAGCAAACAGATCACCTCACCACTGATCAAATAAAATGAACAAAAGAAATCACAAACCAAAACCAACCAGAGCAAACTGCCCCAACTAGAATGGTACACTCAAGAACACCTTCGGGAACCACACAGAAAGTGCACATAGTTTACTCATGCTCACTCTCACACAAGAATAGCTCAACAGTTCACCATTGTTGCCCAGGGGGAGCTTTCTCTCTCTAGATTTTAGAGAGAGAGGCTCTACTTTCTTCCCCTAGTTTACTCAACAGTTCACCATTAGTTTACTCATGCTCACTCTCTCTCTCTCAGAAGATAGTTTTCTCTCCAACTTTCTCTGTGCTTCTCCATCCTTCTATCTTTTGTTCTAGGAAACTAATTCGCTTGGGACCCTAACTGTATCATTAGCTTAAGTGGCCAAGTTTAACTCCAACAAATCTTGCTTACCATCTAAGAAAGAGGATTTACTGAGTAATTGCCACTTAACGATATTAGTTAAACATAAGCACCGCATTTAAGGTTTGCCAAATTCCCCAACTGTTCAATTCTCAAGCCCAAAAGGACGAATGTGAATTCCCTATGATTTTTTTTCCCGTTTCTCTTTCTTTTCTCTAACTATCTCTTCTATCTCTCAAGAAAAAAGTTTCTCTCTAACTTTCTCTGTGCTTCTCCGTCCTTCTCTCTTTTGTTCTAGGAACTAATTAGCTTGGGCCCCTAATTGTTCCATTAGTTTAAGTGGCCAAGTTTAACTCAAACTAATCTTGCTTAGCCTCTGAGAAAGAGAATTTACTGAGTAACTGTAGCTGAACGAAATTAGTTTAACTTAAACACCTCATTTACGATTTTCGAAATCACCTAAGTGTTCAATTCTCAACTCAAAAAAGATGAATGTGAATTCCCTTTGATTTTCTAACTACTTCTCTTTCTTTTCTCTAACTTTCTCTTCTTCTAGCTCTTTATTGGCCCTCCTTGAATCTGTTTGGCTAAATCATTAACATAAAAGTCTCCCTCTAACTTTATCTGTGCTTCTCCATCCTTCTCTCTTTCGTTCAAGGAACTAATCAGCTTGGGACCCTAATTGTTCCATTAGCTTAAGTGGCCAAGTTTAAGTCAAACTAATCTTTCTTAGCCTCAAAGATAGAGAATTTACTGAGAAATTATCGATACTAGTTTGAATTAAGCACGTCATTTAAGCTTTTCCAAATCACCTAAGTGTTCAATTCTCAAATCCAAAAGGATGAATTTGAATTCCCATTGATTTTCTTCCTCTTTCTGTTTCTTTTCTTTAACTGTCTCTTCTAGCTCTCAAGAAAAAGGTTTCTCTCTAACTTCTCGGCGCTTCTCCATCCTTCTCTCTTTTTTGTTCGAGAAACTAATTAGTCTCGGCCCCCTAATTCTTTCATTTGTTCAAGTGGCGAAGTTTAAATCAAACTAATCTTGCTTAGCCTCTAACAAAGAGAATTTACTGAGTGATTGTAACTTAATTTATTCACCCAAATATTGTGACTTAACAACCATTAGTTTAACTTGAACACCTCATTTAAGGTTTTCGAAATCTCCTAAGTGTTCAATTCTCATGTGCAAAAGGTTGAATTTGAATTCCGCTTCATTTTCTTCCTATTTCTCTTTTTTTTTCTCTAACTTTCTTGTCTAGCTCTCAAGAAGATAGTTTCTCTCTAACTTTCTCTGTGCTTCTCCATCCTTCTCTCTTTCGTTCTAAGAACTAATTAGCCCCCTAATTGTTTCATTTGTTCAAGTGGCGAAGTTAATATCAAACTAATCTTGCTTAGCCTCTAACAAAGAGAACTTACTGGGGCCCCCACAATATCCCTAAAGTGAGTTTTGTGGTTTGGATGGCGATTCTGGCCAGAGTGAACACCGGTGACAGGTTTCACCTTTTTGGTGTGACACAATCTACTGTATGTGTATTTTGTCAGTACCATAATGAAGACCATAACCATCTTTTCTTTGAGTGTCCATTCTCGGAACGTGTGTGGTCTTGTATTAAAGGTAAAATCAATGTTGATTGGCCATCCCTCCTTTGGGATGATTTGATCCAGCTCATTGCTAAATCTGTGAAAGGGAATTCCTTAGGGACTATTATTACCAAGCTTGCATTTACTTGTACTGTGTACCAGTTATGGGTTGCTAGGAATAATAGAGTGTTTAGTAAAGATATGGTCCCTGAAGAGGTTGTTATAAAGCGTATTGTGGATATGGTTAGATTCAGGGTAATGGCTGATGGTATCTTAGCTCATGGAAATTGCCTCATACTATGCTGAAGCTTGGTGCTGCTGATGTGAGGAATAAGAGTTCATAAAATGTGGGTTGAGTGAAGGTTAGAAACTACATTGTGGGGTTTCCTAATGTTTGTTATTCATATTGGTGCTTGGAGTCCTGGAAAGCCGATTGTCGAGTGTATGCCAATCAATCTGAGGGTTGAGTTTCATGTGAGGAATAAACACTCCATATCCCCCACATTACTAGCCACATTGAGAGGAACTAACAAGCTTTTCTTTGTATCTTTTCTTTTGCTGGTGTATGGAGCTATGTTTTTCCGAGTGATGTGAGCATAGATACTTGTGGGTTGAGTGTAGTGAGCAATTATATGTGTGATGTTAAATGTTTCATGTTTCTGAGTCTCGCGAAGTACTCTGTTGATGATTATTTAATTCTGTTTGGTCTTTGCTGGATTACAAGGTCTACTATAAATGTGTAGAGTCTGTTTGGGTTACATGGTTTAGCAGCAGTTCTTGGACGGTGCTGCATGGTTTGTTCTTCAGATCGGGTTGACTCGAAGCTCGAAGTTGGATGTGATTTTGTTGATGGCTGCTATATGCGCCTCGTGTGTGAAGATTGACTTTCCATTATGTTCGTTTTCTTTAGAGTGTGTTGGTATTTTTGCCAACCCGTGTGGGATATACATGGGTGTCCGTAATTTTCTGTTTCCTTCCGACTTTTTGCTACTTAGATATCGGATGTGTTCATGTTCCTCATTACATTTTCATGCGGCACATGAACACACTTTGGTTACTTCCTATTATGTATGGTTTATTTAGTTTAGTTTTTGGCTTATTTTATTTATTTTGGCTAGATACATATGGTTTGGTCGTCAGTCTTTCTGGGTAATTCTGGAATGCTTTAGTCTTTTTGTTTTTCCTTTGGTTCTTGTATAGTGCTTTGGTTAGGGCCTGGGGTATGCCCCTTGTCGTGGTGTAAGTTTTTTGTCTTTTATTTTACGACTTATCCACCCAAAAAAAAGAGAGAACTTACTGAGTAATTGTAATTTAACAACATTAATTTAACTTAAACACCTCATTTAAGGTTTTCGATATCTCCTAAGTGTTCAATTCTCAAGTCCAAAAGGTTGAATTTGAGTTCCGTTTGATTTTCTTCCAATTTCTCTTTCTTTTCTCTAACTTTCTTGTCTAGCTCTCAAGAAGATAGTTTCTCCCTGACTTTCCCTGTGCTTCTCCATCCTTCTCTCTTTCGTTCTAGGAACTAATTAGCTTGGGGCCCAAATTGTTTCATTAGCTTAAGTGGCCAGGTTTAAATCAAACTAATCTTGCTTAGCCTCTAAGAAAACGAATTTACGAGGTAACTGTAGCTTAAAGATATTAGTTCAATTTAAACATCCCATCTGAGGTTTTCAAAATCACCCAAGTATTCAATTCTCAAGTCCAAAAGAATCAATTTGAATTCCCTGTAATTTTCTACGTATTTCTCTTTCATTTTCTCTAACTTTGTCTTCTAGCTCTCAAGATGAAAGTTTCTTTCTACCTTTATCTGTGCTTCTCCATGCTTCTCCATTCTGTTCTAATAACTAATTACCTTGGGTCCCTTAAACTCAACCTAATCTTGCATAGCCACTGAGCAATAGAATTTACTAAATATTTGTAGCTTAACGATATCAGTTTAACATAAGCACCTCATTTATGGTTTCTTAAATCATTTAAGTGTTAAATTCTCAAGCCCAGAAGGATGAATTTGAATGAATTCCCTTTGACTTTCTTCCAATTCCTCTTTCTTTTCTCTTATACTTTCTCTTCTGGCTCTCAAAGCAGAAAGTTTCTATCTTTCTCTGTGATTCTCTCTTTTGTTCCGGGAACAAATTAGATTGCGCCCCTAATTGTTTCATTTGCTCGAGTGGCCAAGTTTAACTTAAACTAATCTTGCTTAGCCTCTGAGCAAGAGAATTTACTGAGTCATTGTCGCATAACGATCTTTGTTTAACATTAAACACCTCATTTAAGTTTTCCAAAATCACTTAAGCGTTTAATTCTCAAGTCTAAAATGATGAATTTGAATTCCCTTTAATTTTCTTCCTATTTCTCTTTCTTTTCTTTTAACTTTCTCATCTAGCTCTCAAGAAGATAGTTTTCTCTCTAACTTTCTCTGTGCTTCTCCATCCTTCTATCTTTTGTTCTAGGAAACTAATTCGCTTGGGACCCTAACTGTTCCATTAGCTTAAGTGGCCAAGTTTAACTCCAACAAATCTTGCTTAGCATCTTAGAAAGAGGATTTACTAAGTAATTGCCACTTAACGATATTAGTTAAACATGAGCACCGCATTTAAGGTTTTCCAAATTCCCCAACTGTTCAATTCTCAAGCCCAAAAGGACGAATGTGAATTCCCTATGATTTTTTTCCCGTTTCTCTTTCTTTTCTCTAACTATCTCTTCTATCTCTCAAGAAAAAAGTTTCTCTCTAACTTTCTCTATGCTTCTCCGTCCTTGTCTCTTTTGTTCTAGGAACTAATTAGCTTGGGCCCCTAATTGTTCCATTAGTTTAAGTGGGCAAGTTTAACTCAAACTAATCTTGCTTAGCCTCTGAGAAATAGAATTTACTGAGTAACTGTAGCTGAACAATATTAGTTTAACTTAAACACCTCATTTATGATTTTCGAAATCACCTAAGTGTTCAATTCTCAACTCCAAAAGGATGAATGTGAATTCCAGTTGATTTTCTTCCTACTTCTCTTTCTTTTCTCTAACTTTCTCTTCTTCTAGCTCTCAACATAAAAGTCTCCCTCTAACTTTCTCTGTGCTTCTCCATCCTTCTCTCTTTCGTTCAAGGAACTAATCAGCTTGGGACCCTAATTGTTCTATTAGCTTAAGTGGCCAAGTTTAAGTCAAACTAATCTTGCTTAGCCTCAAAGATAGAGAATTTACTGAGTAATTATCGATACTAGTTTGACTTAAGCACGTCATTTAAGCTTTACCAGACCACCTAAGTGTTCAATTCTCAAATCCAAAAGGATGAATTTGAATTCCCATTAATTTTCTTCCTCTTTCTGTTTCTTTTCTTTAACTGTCTCTTCTAGCTCTCAAGAAAAAGGTTTCTCTCTAACTTCTCGGCGCTTCTCCATCCTTCTCTCTTTTTTGTTCGAGAAACTAAGTAGCCTCGGCCCCCTAATTGTTTCATTTGTTCAAGTGGCGAAGTTTAAATCAAACTAATCTTGCTTAGCCTCTAACAAAGAGAATTTACTGAGTGAATGTAACCTAATTTATTCACCCAAATATTGTAACTTAACAACCATTAGTTTAACTTGAACACCTCATTTAAGGTTTTCGAAATCTCCTAAGTGTTCAATTCTCATGTGCAAAAGGTTGAATTTGAATTCCGCTTGATTTTCTTCCTATTTCTCTTTTTTTTCTCTAACTTTCTTGTCTAGCTCTCAAGAAGATAGTTTCTCTCTAACTTTCTCTATGCTTCTCCATCATTCTCTCTTTCGTTCTACGAACTAATTAGCTTGGGCTCCCTAATTGTTTCATTTGTTCAAGTGGCGAAGTTAATATCAAACTAATCTTGCTTAGCCTCTAACAAAGAGAACTTACTGGGGCCCCCACAATATCCCTAAAGTGAGTTTTGTGGTTTGGATGGCGATTCTGAGCAGACAGAGCACTGGGGACAGGTTGCACCTTTTTGGAGTGACACAATCTGTTGTATGTGTATTTTGTCAGTACCATAATGAAGACCATAACCACCTTTTGTTTGAGTGTCCATCCTCGGAACGGGTGTGGTCTTGTATTAAAGGTAAAATCAATGTTGATTGGCCATCCCTCCTTTGGGATGATTTGGTCCAGCTCATTGCTAAATCTGTGAAAGGGAATTCCTTAGGGACTATTATTACCAAGCTTGCATTTACTTGTACTGTGTACCAGTTATGGGTTGCTAGGAATAATAGAGTGTTTGGTAAAGATATGGTCCCTGAAGAGGTTGTTGTAAAGCGTATTGTGGATATGGTTAGATTCAGGGTAATGCATATTACCAATTTGAAGACTAACCATAATGACTGATGGTATCATAGCTCAAGGAAATTGCCTCATACTATGCTGAAGCTTGCTGCTGTTGATGTGAGGAATAAGAGTTCATAAAATATGGGTTGAGTGAAGGTTAGAAACTACGTTGCGGGGTTTCCTAATGTTTGTTATTCATATTGGTGCTTGGAGTCCTGGAAAGCCGATTGTCGAGTGTATGCCAATCAATCTGAGGGTTGAGTTTCGTGTGAGGAATAAACACTCCATATCCCCCACATTACTGACCACATTGAGAGGAACTAACAAGCTTTTATATATTCTCTGTATCTTTTCTTTTGCGGGTGTAGGGAGCTTTGTTTTTCCGAGTGATGTGAGCATAGATACTTGTGGGTTGAGTGTAGTGAGCAATTATATGTGTGATGTTAAATGTTTCATGTTTCTGAGTCTCGCGAAGTACTCTGTTTATGATTATTTAATTCTGTTTCGTCTTTGCTGGATTACAAGGTCTACCATAAATGTGTAGAATCTGTTTGGGATACATGGTTTAGCAGCAGTTCTTGGACGGTGCTGCATGGTTTGTTCTTCAGTTTGGGTTGACTCGAAGCTCGAAGTAGGATGTGATTGTGTTGATGGCTGCTATATGCGCCTCGTGTGTGAAGATTCACTTTCCATTATGTTTGTTTTCTTTAGAGTGTGTTGGTATTTTTGCCTACCCGTGTGGGATGTACACGGGTGTCCGTGATTTTCTGTTTCCATCCGACATTTTGCTACTTAGATATCGGGTGTGTCCATGTTCCTCATTACATTTTCATGCGCCACATGAACACACTTTGGTTACTTCCTATTATGTATGGTTTATTTAGTATAGTTTTTGGCTTATTTTATTTATTTTGTCCAGATTGATATGGTTTGGTCGTTAGTCTTTCTGGGTAATTCTGTGTAATTGTAACTTAACAACAATAGTTTAACTTAAACACCTCATTTAAGGTTTTCGATATCTCCTAAGTGTTCAATTCTCAAGT